CATAATTAGAACTTTAAGTGATGACATTATTGCAGGACGTTTTAAGATTTTAGGAATTTTATCTACTTTCTGGAATAGTCATAGCATTTACCCACATAATATAACCTAAGAAGGTTTATCAGTGTGTGTTTGACAACGCTTCCCATGTACCTTCACATACTAAATAAATAAACCTAATTAGTCAAAAAGACTTTATTTAGAATTTGAATTTGGGGGAAGTCTATTAAAAAATATCAAAAGGGGGGCGCCTGGGTGGCTCAGTCGTTAAGCGTCTGCCTTCGGCTGGGGTCATGATCCCAGGTTCCTGGAATCGAGCCCCGCATCGGGCTCCCCTGCTCGGCGGGAGGCCTGCTTCTCCCTCTCCCTCTCCCCCCGCTTGTGTTCCCTCTCTCACTGTATCTCTCTCTGTCAAATAAATAAGTAAAATCTTAAAAAAAAAAAAATCAAAAGGTTTTAAAGCATGTCCTAAATAGGATTACAGATTACTATAAAACTTAGTATTTAAATATTTATTTAACCAAGATGTCAATAAGAGATTCGAAAAGCAAATACACAGGGCTACATAGTTGTTAGCAAAATTTAGCTCCTTTAATATTGAGAAGATTCTGTTTTCTTAAGTAATCAAGGACCTGAGAGAAACAAATATAGAAACCTTATTTTTCTGGGCAGATAAAGAAAAAAAATTTGTTCGTAATTTCCAATCAAAAGCAGACCAACAACCCAGGAAAAACTTGTATTTTTAACAGAGAGAAAAACCAAACTTTAATTTTATACCACTGTGCTTTTAAAGCTCATTTATTCCAATCTTAGTCCATCCTGACCACAAAGCTTGCTCTTCACAAACCTTGTAAACTTTCTTTTTTATTTAGATTTTGTCCTAAGACTTCCCTTTCTAAAAGAGTCTCGTTTTAGGACAAAATTACTTTCTTTTCCCTCAACAAATTCTTATTCCTTTTGAAGATTTTATTTATTTATTTATATGAGAGAGATGAGAGAGAGAGAGCGAGAGTGAGCACATGAGTGGGGTGGGTGGGGGGCAGAAGTAGAGAGAGAAGCAGACTCCCCACCAAGCAGGGAACCCAGGACCCTGAGATCATGACTTGAGCCGAAGGCAGATGCTTGACCGACTGAGCCACCCAGTCACCTCTTATACCTTTTGAATGTATTTCCTACTTTTCTACATATGGAGTTATTTTCCTTATCATTTCCAATAATCTCAATTACGTGTATCAGAATTTTACCTCTTACAAACCTTAGTCTCTAGTGAAAACACTGTGAGCTATTACACCAGAAGTCTTTAGATTCGCAAATCTATGAATACATTTCATAATTTCTAAAAACGTGTCTTTTCATAGTACAACTTCTGATAGAGCATAAAACATGTTTATGAGCAGAGCCAAGTATCTTAATTCCCCAATAATAAGAAGCCAAAAGCAGACAAACCTATGCTCAGTAATTAATGTTTCAGTATTTTATCTGGAAAAGACTTAGATATCCAATGAAACCAACCCAATTTATCATTTAACCTGGCAAAACTTTAATGTTCTAAATTACCAAAGATTTTAGAAGCTATTTAAAACTTGATCTGTAGAGGCTCCTGGATGGCTCAGTCAGTGGAGTGTATGTGACTCTTGATCTCGGGGTTGTGAGTTTGAGCCCCACGTTGGGTAGAGATTACTTAAAAATAAAATCTTTTTTTTAAGTTTATCTATAAACCTTTTTTTATTTTATTTTTAAAAAGATTTTATTTTATTAATAGAGAGAGAGAGAGCAGCAGAGGGAGAGAGAGAAGCAGACTGCCCGCTGAGCAGAGAGCCCACCATGGGACTTGATGCCAGGACCCCAGGATCATGATCTGAGCCGAAGGCAGACACTTAACGGACGGAGCCACCCAGACGCCCCTATAAAGCCTTTTTTAAAACATAATTTACTTGCTCTTAACAACTACCCATGAAAACTTAATGAGACAGACAAATATCAACTACCGTTTTAAGTCATTTTTAGCTGACAAGTTGCAACAGGTACAACATGAATTGAATAAGTTCAGGTATATTATATATTATTACTATATAATACTATTATATTTCAGTATATAAATACTGAAACATTAATTACTGAGCATAGGTGTGTCTGCTTTTGGCTTCTTATTATTGGGGAACTAAAGATACTTGGCTCTGCTCATAAACATGTTTTATGCTCTATCAGAAGTTGTACTATGAAAAGACACGTTTTTAGAAATTATGAAATGTATTCATAGATTTGCGAATCTAAAGACTTCTGGTGTAATAGCTCACAGTATTTTCACTAGAGACTAAGGTTTGTAAGAGGTAAAATTCTGATACACGTAATTGAGATTATTGGAAATGATAAGGAAAATAACTCCATATGTAGAAAAGTAGGAATAAAAGTTGATTATCTGTATTGTATTTGATGTTGACAACTCCAAAAACATGTCTGTTTTAGTGAAACCAACAACCTTAAACTACCTTTAATATTGCACCAGAGTCCATTAAAAGTTCGTCACTGTCAATTTCCCTGGGGCCCCTGTGCAGAAATCTGAGGTTGGAGGTTTAAGTCCAGGGGAGCCCCGGGCCCCTTCATGCTGATTTGGGAGGTGCTCCGTTTGAACCTCTTAAGGAGGTGGCCCAACAGCTTGGGGTGCTTTTTTGCTCCTCGATAGTGAGGGTAGGAAGAGAAGGAGCTGATGGTTGGAGGAGCGGGCTCTGCCGAGCAGCCCAGGTGGTGCGGGAACAGGAGGAGGGAGGAGGGGAACAGAGGGCAGAGGCAGACTCAAGGTTTGGACTACCATTCCTCCCTCTCTGCCTCATCTCTCTCTCTCTCCTGCAAAACAGGCTCTTTCTCTGGTTGATTTTCAGCCCTGCGGAGGAGGGGGAGGGGCAGGCAGCTGTGGGTTGGGTACCCCTTCAGGTGCTTGTGCTTGGGGAGGTGGATTGAGGATTTCCAGGGTCAGGTGTCTTCAGTTTTTGTCCATCCTTATCTCTCTGGACCATCAACTGGATCCCTTCCTGTGAGGCGTCTTTATGGAGGGACATAGAAGCCTGCATGTAGGGGATCTCATCCCATTTATCTGATCCCTGATGAAAAAATTCCAATTGCAAGATGGTGTCATAATTTAAAGGTTTATTTAGTGGTCATCTTGCTTCTGAGCTCAAAACATGCGTAGGCCAAGCAGCGCTCCAATAAAATATGATTTCATTTTTTGACATGGGATCCTAACTATAAGTATGCCCATCAGACAGATTTCGCCCCAACAGGCTCTGAGATGGGATGGAACTAAATCCTCCCATTCTTGTGCAGATTCCAGAAACAGACAGATGAGATCCCTCTTAGACAGATTTCCCCTCCTTTGAGGAGAGACAGGTATGGAGCCACTTCCAAGTCCTGTCCCTTACCAGTGGTCCTGTAGATTCACCCAGAAGGGTCCAGAAGGCTAAAAGCCCAGAAGACAGAGGAATAAGACTCCCCGTGTGCAGGCTGGCAGACTTACCCGGTCCCAGAGCCCATCAGCTCAAACAGATGGAACAGATGCATGTTTTCTTTCCACCAACAAAAAGTGAAAATAGGCAGTCCATGCCCAGTCCGGAGAAGACAGAGAGCATCTCCAAAACAAAAGGGTTTGGGCAGCTGCTTGGGAAAACTTCCTCTAAGACTTGGCCCCTCAGGCTCCCCCAGCCACCAGCAGCTGGTTCCATCTGTCAAGGCCACCAGCTCGGGCAACACACGGGTGGGTCCTGGGCCCTGTGGCAGCCACCTGCTCTGTCTCGGGGAGTCCCTGGGGTTCGGGGGGGACTGGACAAGTCAGAAGCACAGCTTTTGGCTGCTGGCCACAATCTGTTACCAGACCCAGAACCAGTTCTGAACTCAGGTTCCGCTGCTCAGCACTCAAAAATCAATGCTCAAGGGACACATGATGGTGGGAAAGGAAGGGTTGCTTTATTCGGGGAGCCGGCAACCTGGGAAGATGACGGACTGATGTCTCTAAGACCACCTTCCCTGTCCAGGAGGAGCTGGGGGGCTTTAAAGGGGAAGGCACGGGAGAGGGAGGGGGCTACAGGCAGGAGAAGCAGGTGGATAGTCGTCCATGGACAGGACCCAGAACAGGCTGGCTGAGATCACGGCAGCTGTTTTTTTGAATGTGGTCAAGCCTTATGCTCTGGGATAGTTTGGTCCTTCTCTCCTGGAGACCAGGGGTCTGCAAATCTCAGGGACAGTCCCTTCTGCTATAGATCAAGGGACTTAGGTCAGCAAGTAAAGAGTGCAGAAACTTGAAGCAAGTTAGCCCTTCACCGCTCGGAGTGTGTTACAGGAGCTCTGTTCTTTCTCTTCAATTTTTCTCTAAACCTAAAACTGCTGTAAGAAATAAAGCCTATTAGTCGAAAGGGAAAATATATATAGCATGATGCTTTAAAAAAAAAAAAAAAAAAGAACTGTGTTTGAGTGTGTGTGTGTTAACCTAGAAAAATATCTGAAAACATCTATACCAGTGGTTTTTGAGTTTTAGGATCACGGATGGTCTTTAGGCTTCCTGCTTTTCTGACTTCTTTTCCACTTTACAATGTGCATGTATCGCTGTAAAGATCATAGGAAACTATAAAAGAATTTTGTCAGCAATAAGCAGGAAACCAAAAATCCCTTTTTTAGTGACAATTTCTCCTGGGTAAAGCAGAAAACTACAAATGGGTTTTTAATGACAATTTCTCCTGGGTAAGGTACTAATAGGGGTTAAAAAGCAACAGTTTGAGGGGCGCCTGGGTGGCTCAGTCGAGGTAAGTGTCTGCCTTCAGCTCCAGTCATGATCCCAGAGTCCTGGGATGGACCCTTGGACCCTTTGGTGCTCTCTCTCCCGCTGCCCCTCCCCCAGGCTCGCTTGCTCACTCTCCCTCTCACTCAGATACATAAATAAAATCTTAAAAAAAAAAAAAAAACGCAACAGTTTCGGAGTCCAGCCTGATATTCTGGGCTGCTGCATAAAGGACAAGAGGGTAGTAAGTTGTGGACGGAGCCGGTAGGGCAGAAGCCGTTCAGGGTGTTTGCCATGCTAAGCTCCTCCCTTCCTAGGAATTGAAACTAAACTGACTCAGGCCACAGGTCTCTGAGACTAGAGTTCCCTGCAGCCAGCTCTTCGGCCACAGGCGCTCCTGTCCCTGCCCTGAGAATCATGTGGGAGCTGGAAGAGACCCCCGCCAAGTATCTGGACAAGTTCATTGAAAACCGTCTCCTGCCAGACACGCATTTCCGCAAGCAGATCAAGGGAGCTGTCCACATCATCTCCACTTTCCTGAAGGAGAGGTGTTTCCAAGGTGCCGCCCACCCTGTGCGGGTGTCCAAAGTTGTCAAGGTGAGCCCAAGCCTCCTTGCCTGGGGGGAGGGGTGCCTGGATGGGCAAAAGGTCCCGCAGAGACAGAGACGGAGAGCAAAAGGGTAAAGGTCTTTGGGGCTGGTGGTGTCTGACATATCCATACCAAAAAAAAAAATCTAACCATAACTTGTTAGAATAGATTCTGGGGTGAGGCCCTACACCTGTAACTTTTATTTTATTTTATTTTTAAAGATTTTATTTATTTATTTGACAGAGAGACAGCGAGAGCAGGAACACAAGCAGGGGGAGTGGGAGAGGGAGAAGCAGGCTTCCCGCCGAGCAGGGAGCCCGACGCGGGGCTCGATCCCAGGACCCTGGGATCATGACCTGAGCCGAAGGCAGACGCTTAACGACTGAGCCACCCAGGCACCCTACACCTGTAACTTTTAAATAAATGCCCTGGCTGAAGTTTATGAACCACCATCCTCAGCCACATCCATTTCAGAGACAGGAAGACTGAGGCCCAGCTCTAGTAAGTAATTTGCTAATGAACGGCCAGGCTGGGGACATACAATTTCTGCAGAGTCATGAGCTGTTTAAAGACTACGTCCCGGGGGCTTGTTTCTGTTTTTTTCCTGACAAAATGGCTTCCAGAGCCCCTCTCCAGCCAACAACAACTAGCTGTTATTCTGATTTTGTGTGGTTACAAAATTGTAGGTGTCGTCTCCCGTAAAGTAAATACTCCACAAAAACAGAGCCAGGCATTGCCGAAAGCTCAGCTTTTCAACTTCCCTGATGAACTAGGATTCTTTTTTCTTATTGAAGTATAATTAACATACCATGTGATATTAGTTTCAGGTACACAGTGTATTGATTCTACAATTCTATACATTACTCAGTGCTCTTTATGATAAATGTAGTCACCACCTGTCCCCACATGGCGTTAGTACAATATCATTGACTATATTCCCTAGGCTGTACTTTTCATCTCTGTGACTTATTTGATAACTGGAAGTTTGAACTTCTTAATCCCCTTTATTTATGTCACTCATCCCCCACCCACCTCCCCTCTGGCAACCACCAGTTTGCTCTCTGTATTTGAGTCTATTGTTTTGTTTGTTTTATTTTGTAGATTCTACGTATGAGTGAAATCATATGGTATTTGTCTTTCTCTGTCTGACTTATTTCACTTATCATTATACCTTCTAGATCCATCCATGTTGTTGCGAATGGCAAGGTGTCATTCTTTTTATGGCTGGAGAATATTCCATTGTGTGTGTGTGTGTGTGTACGTACCACATCTTCTTTATCCATTCATCTATGGATGGACACTTGGGCTGCTTCCATATCTTGGCTATTGTAAATAATGCTGCAATAAACACAGGATTGCATGTATCTTCTCAAATTAGTGTTTTCATTTTCTTTGGGTAAATACCCAATAGTGGGATTACTGGATCATAAGGCAGCTCTATTTTTAATTTTTTGAGGAACCTCCATACTGTCTTCCACAGTGGCTGCTCCAATTTCCATTCCCACCAGCAGTGTATGAGGGTTCCCTTTTTCCTCCATCCACAATGGGGACACCATTTCTATGGTATCATGGGCTGGTTAAGAAGTGATCATATAGATAGCACCTACTGGCTGTGAAATTTTGAGCAAGTCACTTTACCTCTCTGTGCTTCACTTTCCTCTTCCATAACTCCCAGTGCCTGATAGGGCTGTACAGATTCTATGATGTATGTAAACCACCCAGCACGGGCCAGCCTACAGTATATAATCCTATATAAGATAGTAAAGGTTAGGGAGTAAAGAACACAGACGCTAGAACGAGACAGCCAGGGTTTGAATTGCAGCTCTCTCACCACTCGCCAGGAGGCTGGGCTTCTGTATCCCCTCTCTGAGCTCTTATGCCCCACCTGGAAAGAGGGGACTGATAACAAGATTACGGGAGTCATAGACTCCTGTGAGCATCATGGGAGCTAAGACTGCTGATGCCCTCAGAGCAGAGGCTAAGGCTCAAGAATGTTAGTGATTGTCCTCATCACTTTATATAGGGAGGCTCTCCTCCATAACTGTTAGTTCTCATTCTCCTCATCTGTTTTAGGGTGGCTCTTCCGGCAAAGGCACGTCCCTCAGAGGCCGATCAGATGCCGACCTTGTGGTCTTTCTTAACAACCTCCGGAGTTTTCAGGAGCAACTTGACAAACGAGGAGAGTTCATCTGGGAAATTAAGAGGCAGCTGGAAGCCTGTCAAAGAGAAGAAACCTTTGAAGTGCAGTTTGAGGTCAGGAGTCTGCGGCCTGAGAAGCCCCGAGCCCTCAGCTTTCTGCTCCTGCGCCCTATTCCCTATGAAGGGGTGGAGTTTGATGTACTGCCCGCCTTTGACGTCCTGGGTAAGTGCCTGCACGCACACACACACACACTCACTCACACTCACACACACGGGCTTTCTGCCTTTGTCCTGCGTCAAGGCTTCTTTCTCTTTTCATATTTCTGAGCAGAAATTTCCCACAGTTGGAGAGTCTTACCATGACGGGGCATCCCCTCAAAGTGGGGAGGAGATCTTAGAATGAGTGAGGTCACAGGAGCGACATGAAACGGCAAATTGGCACCATTTGGGGGCAAGACATTTCTCAGGGAACTCCTGTCAGGCTGGCTGCTCCTACTTGAGACTTCTCTTGCTGAAAAGGAGGCAGCATAGATCCGGCGTAGAGTCAATATGTGAATTGCATCTTTTACCCCAAACACGAGGAGACCCCGCTAAACTTATCCTGAGGGTTGGAATCTCTAGATAATTTTGCAGAAACATTTGGACAGGAAGCATCGCCTCGTTAGGAAAATGGGTTAAACCAGGCCACCTAGGTCCTGCTCTTACTTTAAGTATTAAATGATCATCTACATTAAGGGG